TGGCCATATCGTAGATTATGGTATATTGGCTCGTATACCATAATGGCTGAGCCAATAAAAAGTCTTGAATTGCATTATCTAATGATCCAGTTTTTAATAAGATACATATATTCGCTGAATCTAAAGGGATGATTGATTTTACAATAATTATCCTGGGTGTTTATTAGAACGACTGCATTTCCCTTGTATTTTTCTTCTCCCGTCAAAGCTTCGATGCTTTAACATTTCATCGCGTGGGACGATTATTAGTAGTCACTAGCAAGATATGACAACAGCACCAACCAATAAGAGTGCACACATCTCTGTCATCAAGTATGCATTAACACTACTCAATGTCACCAGTTATCAAAAATAATAGATATAGTGACTTAATACGCGCAATGAATAGTGGTAAGCACTACATAAGAGTCATTTTAACAAATTTTTCGCGATATGCAAAGTAGAGTGTATTGCAGGAAAATTACAGCTAGGAGAAGCATTCCCATCGCTAATCATTAACAAAATGGTAAATGCAACCATCGATCCCGGCGAAACTCTTCAATGGGTGCGGTTCTTTCCTTGTACAATCTATATGCGCAGAATATGACCTTAAAAAGAGATGTAAACCCAATGTGTCGAATAAACCAAAGGAAATTGTAATGTTTAAATACGTAATCCGCAAGAAACCAAAACTAGCCTCACGCACGTGGAGGTCTAGCTGAGCGAAAGCTTTTGACAAGACAACTACAATGACATGCACAGGAAGATAAATTTACCGATGAATCCTGCATGCCGGTTGCACGGAGTCCAACAGACGGCGTTTCTTAGGTCACGAATTGTGAGACTCGGAGGATTGGGTCGCTCCATGAACGTTCGTTATTAACAGAACACAACAAAAGTTGCTTCTACTTCCACCGGGTATGAAGCTATTGCATAGCAGCTCGAAAGTCGCTGGGCTTAGCTCGCTTTGAAACAAATCATTACGATATTTTTATTTTTATACATTCAGTCAGACGTAAATTTGATTTGATTTCATACGTCACGGAAGACTGGTTTGTTTTCAGTGGCAAAAAAACACAGCGATTTAGAGGGAATCAATTCGTCTTTTAGTCTGATGTCCAGTGTATAGTACACGTAAACAAAGATACAACGAACGAGACGAAAAAACAGAGACTTCGAATTTCTGATCCATTTCGTTTCAGGCCTCCACTGTTCCCACATGTACAGACGTGATCCGATATTTTAATAACATGCATCATGCCCGATGCGTGGAGTTCGCTCTTCAGGAATAAGTGTGCGACCGTATCAAAAGAGAAAAAAGGAAAACGGCAAAAACCAGAAACTAAAGAAAAAATAATAAAATGATTCGAACCTTGAGGCGTGGGAGGTAGTGCTGTCCTAAGCTAATAATTTGGACATATCAACTAAGTTGAAATGGTAAATTGGCCACCGTAATGATTACAAAAGCGGCTAAACTTCAGAATACCCGGCCACTCATTTACATGTCATCGAATAAGAATAGCATCTATTGTGTTATGCCTCATTCTTCAAAGCCTCCCGCAAAAGCTGACGTTTCGAGCGTTAGCCCTTCGTCGGAGCGAATGTTTGAACAGCAGGAATTCTGTAAGGTGAGATGACCGGTAGATTCTTGTCACTCGACGAAGGGCTAACGCTCGAAACGTCAGCTTTTGTAATCATTACGGTGGCCAATTTACCATTTCAACTTTGTTGATATATCCAAATTATTTCGTTATTCCCACCGACGCAGCCCCAAACAGTTTCTTTCGAAACTTTCAGCCTCTGTCCTAAGCTAGAAAGCTAGTTTGCAATGGGTGTCATAACTAATTTCATCCTCCTCAAATTTCATCCTCCTCAAAGCTTTAACCCTTAAACCCGAAGGAGTGACAAGAATCTACCCGTCATCTAACCTTCTGGAATTCCTGCTGTTCAAACATTAAGGTCTCAAAATGAAGGAGATTATCGCTGACGAAAGAAGCTCTCGACTGTTAAACGATGGGGGCATTGGGATCTTCGGTTTTGTGGTTTTGGCCATTTTTAGATCTGTTTTTTTTTTTTTTTTTTTTTTTTTTTCGTTTTTGTGGGCACTACCTCCTGTACAAGAGCAGTACCTCATGTACAGAGCGGATTTGGTATCCGAAGTGGTTTCTCTTCGATCTGAGCGGTAATTATGCGCCTCCTTTGAACTCGTATAGCTGCGAAACCTCTGTATGCTCCACTTATCACCACTGTAGCGGATCGATAAGAGTTATAGCTGCAAAACTTCTGTATGCTCCACTCGTCACCAATGTATTGTATCGATTATATATATATATATATAATTAAAATCCCCTGATGAGTGGGCAACCACGAAACAGGTCTGTAGGTATGTATATGTAGTTGTTTTTTTTTCGACTACCACACATTATACCCGCTCTACTATTTGTATCGAGCACTGTTTCACGGACACCAAGTTTAATCCCTCTATATATTATATATATATATAGGATTTGTTTTGGGGTTTCCATATAGATCTTAATGCCCTCCTCTTAAACTCTTCTTGACAGTAACATAAGAAGTTTATAGAAAACAGTACGGAGAATGTCGATGTCTGCAGTGTATGATGATGTTAGGATGTTCATGCTTCATTTTTTAAAATGCTCTCAAACCGTTAATTAAGTCACGAGCAATTCCATTTACAGTGACATGCATCCTATACTTTACATTTTTCAAAATTCAACTTTGTACTTTGTATAAATTAGAACTGAAGAAGATAGACGAATTATGGAAATATGTATTTTTAACAATCGAAACATGTTACATCCTACACTTCACACTTTTCACAATTCAACTCTGTATTTTGTATAAATTAGAACTGAAGATGACAGAAGAACTAACGAAACATTTTTTCAAAAAGTGTAGTATATTTTCTTAAATTCGTGACACATCTGCTGCGATCCAGACTTTTTAGCAATATCATCCGCGACATAGCTGAGAGTTATGAGCCCATTAACATTGCTAATCTACGGAAAGTTGAGAAACTCTCGATAAAATCCGGCAAAGCTGAGCTGGATTGAAACTTCCTACGCATTAGAACTAAAGATGATAGTAGAACTGTCGAAGCATGTTTTGGAAAAAATGTAGATTTTCTTAGATTCGTGACATATCTGCTGCCATCCAGACCTTTTGGCACATGCATCGTACAAATAACTTACGCTATATTATGCTCAAGGTGAAGTTGAAATAGAAAAAACCGAGTTTAAAACCTACATACATGCAGCCTTTCTCACCTGCATCTGTTTCAATAGCATCGTATGAATGATGATAATGATGAGATCGACCAAATAAATGGGAGGTTTCCTACAAAAAAAACCACACAATTAGTATAAACTTCGAAGTTCCAAGGTTTACCGTCCTAAATATTCCCTCTAATCAGAGTTGGAACTGAGTACGAGTATAGGATCGATCCAGTAAATGGGAGGTATCCTTCAAAAAAACAAAAACAAAAAAACAAAAAACAAAAAACAAAAAAAACAAAAACAAAAAAAACCAGTGAGGCATTTTAAATTAGTATTAACTTAAAAATACCAAGGTCTAACGTTGTAAATAGTCCCTCTGATCAAAGCTGGAACTAAGAGTATAAGATTGTAACGTTACCTTAAATAAATTTCGCAAAAACAATAAATACAAAAATTGAACAGTAAATAATCTACGAGATACAATACCTCTTCTGTCTCATGTAAGAGCAGTCGCTTGGGGTTTAATATCCACAGCTGGCTGGGACTGAAACCAAAGAGACAAGAGGCTGTCAGTAACGATTTTCAGACATTGCAGTTGCGGCAAAGCACGTGCATTTATTTGCAACATAATTTGGCTGTCGGAGAGCATTCAAGACGTCAATTTTAACCTTTTAACATGACGTGTGATTACCACCAACTTCTCCTTCCAGCATTAAACCATTATCCACCATTTATGGAGAAGAAACTAAATACACGCATCAACTTGTGGGTACTACAGCGTATTCAAGTATACATACATGTCTAAACTCTCTTTACGAAGCTACATGGGGAACGTATCGCAACCAGAGGTGAGAGACTTACAACTAACAGGGGTTTAAAACTTAGCCAAACCTACCTTTTCCAGTTCCAAAGACAGCAAGAAAACCAGAGCGCTACGCCCAGTTCAAATACTCGAAATACAACCTCTAAAGCATTCCTTCCCTCCATAGGCAGCCTGGGTAAAAAAGAAAGCCCAAATCTACAATTCGCATGGTATGTTTTTCCCTAAATAAAAATAGATCAAAATAAGAGAGCATCTCACCGACGTGTTCTTTCGGTGAAGGACAAAATGTGACACTGCATAATTTTATCATCGTTTAATTTAAAAAAAAACATGTCACTGCATTACTTTTGATTGTTTCATTTGAGAAGACAGGTCAAAAACTCGGGCTTCGTGCTTCATCACGGGTTCCAAACACCGAACACCATCTGCTCATCGGTGTTTGAAATCTGTGAAGAAGCACTTGTCCTCGTTTTTGGCATACCGTGGAATCCCGATTTCTAAAACCTTCAGGGGAAACGCAAATTGGTTCGAGAAATCGGGGGTGAAATTACAAGTGAAGCAAATCCAAGGGAAGCAAGGTTTGGTTCGAGATATCGGGAGGTTCGAGAAACCAATCGTGATCGAATTATTAATGAATGCCGCCGTTGGGATGAACATCGCTATGACAAAGTACTTGTTAATCTGATTAATTCAAGGTTTGATCCGTTTGCCCTTCAGGGACTCCCAGAGGACGCCAAGTCGCTTTCTACCAAATTTCGCCGTGCTTTCGCACACTTTTAATTTCGCATTATTAAGACTAAAAGATAAATAGACTTCAAGATCTAACCTTTCGTATGATATTTAGCGAGAGGATAACATAACGTTTGATTCTTAAATGGCCACCAACGACAATTTGATTCTGTGTGGTGGCGAGTTTCGTAATGGCGAATTGAGCGTAAACCAGCCAAGGATACTTACAGGTGATGCAAAACTAATTACATAACTGATTAATCATAATTGATCCTTAAGACTGTAAAATAAATGCTTACTTGTGTTTCCATTTTCCTCCCATAATATCACCAAGAAGGAAAAGAGATGTGAGGAGCTGAAAGGGAATGACTTTGAAAATCAACATTCACCTCACTTCACTCACATAAAAATTTTGATCACCTTTTAAATTAAATCACAAATAAGCACAATCAGCATTCATCTTGTTAGCAGCAGTTCTTGGGACTATTTCTGGACAAGGGAAGTATCCTTTAAAAGAGAGCATTGCATCACATTCAAACGAAAGGCTTCAAATTTAAGGAGACTAGCCCTTGTAAATGACTGTATGAATTAATTATAGCCCAAGACCAAGACAAAAGAGCCGCAGTAAAGGAAACAAAGAGGAGAGCTAAGCACTTGTCATTGTTTAGTTACATGATTGTCAGTATAACATTAACCATTTGAGAATAAGACCCAATGAAAGATCACTGGATCTCCAGCTGGTAAAATATATCAAAAACAATCCTTCCCTCTGGGAGGGGCAAATAATTAGGAAATCTGATGCTGAAATGTGAGTAAATGATGCCAATTTGGCCACAACATAAAAGGGATGCAGCAAAGCAGTGGACCACTGCAAATCATGAGACAGAGTTGCATGCCCACCTCTTACTCCGGAACTTAAAAAAAAAAAAAAGAAAAAAAAAAATTGTGAATTTGAGAGTTTACCTGAAGGGATGCTTGTGAAAATAGACCAAATCTTGACATAGCAGCTTGAGTGATATCAACATTTGATGACTCTGTAGTTGTAAAAGCACCCCGCACCTACAAAGAAGTTAATGGCCTAGAGTCCATGAGGATGTCTAAAATACATTTAGTTTCTGTATGAATAAATGCAGCAAAGCATGATGACTGTTTCATTGAGTTCCTTGAAAAATTCTTTATTCAAATTCTCAACCAACTGTAAGTCACCAGGACAGCAATACATCCTCTGAGAACAAAAGTTATGTCTTTGACTCGGAAATGAGTTCAGTGAGCCCCTTTTTTATCATCAAATTACAATTTCAGAATTGTCCAGGAAAAAAAAATACCAAGCCACCTTAATTTATAGATATAGTTGTGTAATTTTGTTTGACCTAGGATGGCTAAACTCGTTTGCCCTGAGCCAAAAGGTCGCACTAAGAAATTCATGTTTTCTGTACTTGTATGCTTCACTTCTTAGGAAACTATGCTGCTTTCAGACAATTTTTCAGCCCCAATAAACCAGCTTTCTGAATGGGTGGATTGCTTTGCACTGAACATGGATGGGCCTCAGTGTCAAGACACTTAGAAGAGTTGGAAAACTTAAATAGGCAGGGGCAAAAAAGGTTTCACTAGAGTTAAAGGCAAATACATTGTACTAACCTTGTAATACAGTTCAACTCCATATATGAGAAATAATGTAAGCATCAAGAACATCAGGACAACAAAAATGCCAGTAAAAATATTGGATAAATAAACCTGAAAAAAAACAAATAGAACACATCTTTATGACAATCCATTATGCTCCAGTACATGTTTCAAGTGTAATCTTTTTCCCAGTTACCCGACTAAACAACAAACAAGAGTAGTTGTCTAGTGAAGCAAATGAAATCAGAACTCAAAGACTTAACTGACCTTTCGTTGTTCATCTGTGATCTCTATTGTAATAAACTGTGCCAAAAAGACCAGGAACAAAAATACATTGAATGTAATAAAAGCTAACGAAGATTTGCTGAGAAAACGTGGCTTGTCAAGCCGCAAACCAACCACATGAAATGTCTGCAAGAAAAACAAAAACAAAAAACAAAAATTACAAGAGTTAGTTTACTATAGAAAGGTTACTAATGTCAATCAAAATTTATGCTTATGAAAATAAAGTGGCGACTTACCTCTGCCCAAAAACAAATAATGAGGGAGAACCCAGATATAATTGGTGGATAGTATGCATTGAATAAATTGATTCCTAACCAGGCAGGAAGATACCTCTGAAAAAAACAGCACTCAATTTAGAACAAAGAACAAACTTAAGAACATGGAGAGCCACCAACTCCTCACCAGGGGTCTAATTATTAATGACACTGTCGTTGTAGAACAGAGATGCGAAAAAATAATTTTCCCCATTTTTAAAGAATGTCTTTCAACTGTCATGTAGTTTTAGCCCTTTAATCCCTAACAGTGACTAGCATCTAGTTCCTCCTCATAATATCACCCTTGAGTCGAATAGTACAGTCACTGGGAGCTCTTGATTGTTCAACAAATTATCCTTGTCAGCATCTTAGGAAATGAATCGAGAACAGTATGGAGAATATGCATACTGATGGTAGGGTGTAAAGGGTTCACATTGCCAACAGATATGAAGACATTGTCAAAAAAGCATTTGCTAGGATTTTTCACTCATTTAAAATTCATATTTCGCACTTCGGCTGCAAACAGCCACTAAGCCTCATGGATTTTGAGTCAATTAAAGGATTGACACCTCCATATTTAACAGCTATTAATTTTTTTATGTCTACTTCCTGTACAGATTATTACTTAAAGTGCACATGACTTGAAATTCACCACCCCCCCCCACAATTTTTATTTCTTATTATTAAAACTTAGGTATTACTTGATCGAATTCTGGTATTAGAACCTTCATGGAAGCGCTTTAGTAGTTTTCCCGCGGGCTCAAAGTTGAGCATTTTATGCGACAATTCCTGCGAGGCCAAACTTCCTCTGTGACATCACTTGTGTAGATTGTGGTGGGGAATATGGCGGATAAGCGAAATCGAAGAGTCTGCGGGAAGTATTGTGTAGCTGGTGGCCCTGGGTAAGTCGGCTGCATGAATTCAAGTCAAACCCCAGCCACATCAATGCATATTTTTCCTGCTAATGAAATTTGAAGAAGGAAATGGATGAAATTCGTCCATAAACATCGGCCAGGTTTTAAGCCATCATAGACCTCGGTGTTGTGTTCTGTGCATTTTCCGCCAGACAGCTTTTGTCGAAAGACCAGCATTAGAGATCAGTCAAGCATTCAAAGGCTTGAGAAGGGAGCATTCCCAATGATCGATGTCACAGTCAGGTAAGAGAATGGCCCAGAAGGGACAGATCGAGGATGGAGGAGGGTAAGTTATATTCAAATAATTTATAATTAATTGCAATCGACACGTCTATTGATCATGTTTACTTTGATAAATTCAATCTTAATATTACCGCTCTTATTTAATAATCTGTACACAAATTTATCATTTTTTTCAGGTGATCAGAGAGGTCTTAAACAACACAGTTGTTCTCCTTCACCGACTGTGAAACTTGTGTAGTGTTCATTACTTGTTGGAAGTATTTGCTATGATTTTATTTGCTTGACATTCAGTTGGCATTGCAATGTGAGGGATAAAGCATTCTGCATTGCCAGCTTATATTTGACTAATTAATGCCAAGATTATTTGGTGGCAAAACTCGAAAAAAATAATGTATTATTTGTTGCAAAATTGCAAATCACGAGAATGGAAATGCAAACAGACACCTTTTTTGGTATTAATTTTTACTTTTTAGTTAATTAGTTGCTGAACAAGATTCCATGCAGTCTTCACAAAATAAACTTGCTGAAAGAGAACCTCCAGCAAAGAAAAAGACCTACACTTGCAGCAAATGCAAAAAACCAGGACATCAACAAAACCACTGTCCCACACTAATGGATGCCTAACATGGAAAGAGCATGAATAATTGTCATCAAAGCAAATTTTTGAACACTAGGCATCTTGTTTGATAATTGTTTTGAAAAGTTCACATTTAAATGTTAGGGACCCAAAATTTGCAGTTGCTAATCTTGATAGTCTTCTATGCATTTTTGGCCAGGGCTTGGGGGGGGGGGAGGGGGCACTTGACCCATGTTTAGGTATAAGGTGCCATTAGGTAGTTGAAACCCTAAAACATCCATTGTTTCTTACTGTCATCAGGATGTACTGAAATTAATTCTGTCAACATGCAGTTGTGTTATAATGCTGATAGGGCAACTTAAAGGTACTGAAAACAATAATTTATTGTTCTGAAAAATAATTTAATGCCCTCTAAATAAATACAGATAAACATCATAATCAGTGAGCCTTGCAGCCGTACCCTGTCAGACCCTAATCAGGACAGCCGCGCTTGAAATTATATACCCTGTGCAGGGTGGAGGGATTAAAAACCTCACCCTATCCAGGGGTACATCATGATGTAGCCCATGTAGGAGAGTAAATCCCCCCCCCCCCATCAAGGATTTATTGCAGCCTAAATTACTGAGTGTAGTAAGTTATGCAAAAATAAGGAGATCATTGTGGAGCAAGTCAATTCAAATTTATTTGTAAAAATTCCATTAGAAATAATAGGACAATAATGATTACATCTCAATTCCTTTCTTCTGCTGATGTATATCCAGTTGTGCTGTGGGACACACCTAGATCTGATAATTATTGTGGTAGACATATGCTGGCAATGGCCTACTATTCTCCCAGCCCAAGTAGCTGAAGATCTATCGAACCAGCCACCTGTAAGCTGTAGCTCTAAGAAACCTGTGATAAAGGTTTGAAGACATATTGTGAGAAAATCAACATGATTTGTCTAGCAGATAGACAAAAAACATCCAGAACAGTCTTGAATACAGTGGCTGACAAAAAATTACTTACAAATTGTAAATCTTACTGTTATGTAAACAAATTGTACTCACTTGTTTTCTGAGGTGCCATTTCTGCAGCAGTACATTTTCCCATTTCTGTCCTGAAGTAACGGTGCCACCTGTCTCAGGATTGTGCTGTTGATCAGCGCAAGGTAATCTGCATGCTGTGTGATGCACGATATCTGTTCAATACTTCCATCAAATGTAAGTTTTCCACGTGCACAGTCCACTTCCATGCAGCACCTAAACTTGCGGGCTGATACCAGCATAGCATCACTGCACTGGGTACAGGAACACCTGATGAAAAATAAAACCATGGTGAGCTTATCTCATTCTCAAGTAGAAAAAAATTATAGCTAATTTTCCGAGTGCAACTGAAAGGCTGCATGCAAGAGCATCTCTAAGGTTGGTTGTAATTTCACCATCATGTTCGGTTTTAGCTTCAGTGTATACAAACGGGCACATTAGAACAAGGTAAGACACACTTACCACAAACTGGCAGGTTCTGTTTTCTCAAATCTTCGCGATAAAGTGGCACAAGATAAGCCATCTTCATCCTCATCTTCCTCTTCTTGTAGGTTGCTGTCACTTTCATCGGAGTTTGCCAAACTGGCAGGTTCTGTTTTCTCAAATCTTTGCGATTAAGTGGCACAAGATAAGCCATCTTCATCCTCCTCTTCCTCTTCTTGTCGGTTGCTGTCACTTTCATCGGAGTTTGCCAACGTTTGCGACTATCTTGCCCATGATGCCTGTACTGTCTTCTTCAGAACTTGAGAATGATTCTACATCATCCTCAGATGATGTACAAGACAACTCTTGATCACTGTGATCGCTTTCTGACATATTTAGCTCGTAAACGACAAGTAGAATAACTCAAAACCACTGCTTGATCACTGGGAACAACATCTCCTACACAACTGATGACGTGACAGCTCTATTATTCATTCCCGGGCTCTTGCCCCATATTTTGCAGAAAAAATGCAAACTTTAATCGCATTTTAAAATGTGTTCTTGAAACGTTGTGACTTACTTTTTTTCACTGAAATACTTCTCGTAACATATATTTTTGAATTTAAGAAAAAAAGAAGGGGGGGGAATTTTGAATCATGTGCACTTTAAAACAGTCGACAAAAGAAAAAATTTAAAAATATTTCAAATTAAATATGACATCTCAATTTACCTGAGCTGAATAGTACACTCCCCTTGATCCACATGCTATAATCATACAAATATACAATGTCTTTTGCACTGTAAGCCGGCAAGCTTTGGCTAAGCTTGGTCTCTTTAGCTTTTTAAACTCTGATCGAACACAAAGGAACTGAAAATTCACAAAAGAGAACACATCAGTGATAGCTTCTGTAAATTAGGGGTCTGGGTTTGTCATGTGCTTGTGTCATGTGTTTGTCATGTGCTTGTCGACTCAGTGAAAAGATTAAATGGCAAGATATTGTTTGAGAGTCATGATATGAAGACCAACGCTTCCTTGATTAGCTCAAATCTGAAACTTTCTGGCCCTGTTTGTGCCATTCCACACCACCACCACAACATGTTATTTTTTTTTTTTAACAATCATTATGTTTACAAAAGAGTAATTGAGTGGGGCCATACAGGTCATATGATCATAGATCTAATGTGTCTTGAATACATACACTTTATCTTACTTTCCACCTCTTCCTTTCCAATTCAAAATTTCTGATCAGTTTACTGAGTTATCTCAGCCAGGGAGTACGGTATTCCAAACACAATGATATGATTGACAATAACTTGGTTTGATATCAAGATTCCCGGTAATTGTGAAAAAGAGCTCCCAAAAAACCTGTCCGCCGACTGTCAGCTGTTTGTAGGTTGACTGTTGGTCAACAGTTGGCCGTTTTTCGGCCGACAGTTGGTCCAAAGTAGCTTTCTTTCCCCTTGGATTTCTGAGATTTGGATTAAATCACCTTTAAACATTATAACTATTGATTGTCCTGCTGATTAATCATCTCGGAAAGAAATCTTTTTTCCATCGATCAATAAGTAGGCTAAGCTTAACTCGTGTTTATCGGGACTATTATTGTTTCTGGGTCATGTTTACTGCATGTTTTCACACGCAGTAGCCTGTCAGTAGCCTGTCGGTTAGCTGTCGGTAATCCTTCGGCCGACAGTTGACCAACAGTCAGGCGATAGGTTTTTTTTGAGAGCTCTTCTTCACAATCAACAGACTCCCAAGGAAAAGTGTAGAGGAGAACCTTCAACCACCACCACTGATGCAAAAGTTTGAAAGGGAAGGGGGAAGAGCAATGTCTTGTCCCCTTAGCAAAGAAGGCTCAAGTAATGCATTTATCCAACTGTTACTGCACATCTTTCATTCTCAGTTACACTTTCTCGTTAAAGCTGTTATTTTTCAATGTTTAAAACAAATTAGTTAATTCCTAGCCACTATTTTACCCTTTGCCATGAGTGACCATTGGACAGAATTTCTCCTCACAACATTGATGCAATATCAAGTAGACAAGAGATTAATTAATGAAGAATATCAACTTGGGGATCATTAGTTGATCAGATACCAAAATCTCTATACTCACATCATAAGAATTGAATAGCAGACAGGGTGAATTACTAATGACATCTTGTAAGCAAAAGTGATAACCAGTTCAACTACTATACCATGATTTTACAGTATTCGTTACATACCAGTTGAGTTGCAGACACTGCAGAAACAAAGAAGAAAACTACACTAAAACCAATGAAAAATCCTATATTTGTATCACTGCATGCTCCACCACTATATTTGACCTGAGGGTAAAAAAAGATAAAATCAACAGAATTCAAGACAGAATTTCACTATATAGGTGTAATATCAAGACAATGTCAAGAAGACAATGAGAAGAGAGGAAAATATCAACTACATGTACTAATTATCAGTTAATCCGATACCAAATTTTCAGAACTACAAGTAGCATCATGAAAATAGCTGTATAACTGACAGTAAAGAATATTACTAATGAGATGTTGGGAGTGAAATGGTTTAAAAGTAAAAAAAGTCCATTCTTAATTTTTTTTTCAAACCTATGTTGATTATTCAATTTGAAGAACAACAAATGTCAATATAACTGATTTCTATTTTTTTCCACTAATAATGACCCTTGATACAAATCAGTACACTTTGAATGTTTCAAATACATCATTGCTATTATTATCATCAAACATTTTCAGAGTGCCCTCACAGGCAACTTTTGACTCAACATTGATTCCATTGTTCTATAAAAGCAATGAAAATAAGGTCCCTGACTGGACTAATTGGGAATTGAATAAATAAGTATTTGGCTATAAAGCAACTGGATTTAAGGAAAAATTCAAGTTTTAATCTGTTTAATTACACTGATGCAGAGTACTTCTTAAATTTTAATAACTACCTGCATGTAGATTATATTTAATGCATAACAAAATATATATGTACCAAAAAGGTTCTCAGTTAAAATGGGTTCACAAAATAATTTGAAATGTTGTCAAGTGAACAGGATGCTGCACATCCAAATTCTTTAAAACAGTTTTATCAGTGATCAGAACATGCATGAGTACCGAGTGTATTTAAATTTAATACGCTTAGAAAAAAAAGGTCTTTGTTCTGAAGTCTTTCTCTCATTGGCTGAGACTTGGTGGTTCCACCAACATAGTTAATCAATGTCTTTATTTACTGAATAACAATATTTTAATACCCCTTAACCCATCACAGTACAAAAGGCTCACTATTACGGCACATCCAAGAATAATAAGTATTCTTTTATAACCTAATTTTACTTACACTACAAGTACCTAAAATATATTTAAAACCTGAGATTGATTAAAAAAACAAGTGTAGTTCACAAATGCAAAGGTAATTACGTAGTCAGCAGTTGAAATCTAATGCCACTAAGTTTGGAAATACTATGCATCACATTTTACATTGAACATGGGACAGAAGATGCATCTCAGAACCATTGTTGAGCATACTGTACTGATAAATCTGACAATCTTGCCATGCAAAACTACACAGACCACTCATGGAGCGATTTATGCTTAAAATATGGGAAAGTTTACTTCTTAGACCAAAGATTTATTGAAGAAGTGTCTCTCGCTCATACATCGTCTGTATCAAAATCTACATCTAATTGACAGCAAAAAGACGTTGTCAGTAGCCTGTTTGTCAAAGCTGTTTGAAACATGGTCCTACAGTTTATGGCTCACTACCACAAATCTCCATCGCTAGGTGGTATTAAAACTCTCGTACAGTAGTGTATATCACTTCTTTCTAAGAATGTACGTGTCACTGATCGAAGTTAAAAGTAAAATATCAGGTTTAATTCAAAAGTCATCACGTTCTATTTTTCGTTTACATCACTGCGTAAAAGCCACTGGTTAAATAGACAAACGGCTTGATAAATACGGATCTTTTTTACATATCTTGGAGTAAAAACAAAATGAAATGTACCCAGATAGCCCTTTCAAAGAATTCAATTGATCTGAGCGGAAACAAGAAACAAACGAAATCGCAGAAGAGTGCTGCTTCCTATTTCCAGTACACGTTATTCGATGCCTCATTAAAAAAAGTATCCATTGTCAACTTGTATAACGAGAAGGAAATTACTTTAGCCTGTTCACTCTGATTTCGAAACGAAAAAAGGTTGCTAACTTCCACATGACGAGTGAACAACGTCATTGTACTCTCACTTTTACCGTTTCCTTTCTCAGAAGTGTTAACGTGGGAGTTCACGACACGAAATGAGGTCGATGGAAACTTTCGACACCGAGTATTAAAACAAAGCCTTAGCTTCCTTCCTCAACAAGAGTTGAACATACAACAGCGGTCCACAGTTGACCTTCATAAATAAGCTGTGACCATACAGTTTAAAGCTAACTTTCTGAACAATTGAAAAAAAAAATTGGGTACCTCACAGACGCAAGACCCTCTGACACACAAACCACGGTCGTTGCAGTTGCTGGGGCAGTTAGTCGAACTTCCATCGGTCATCTTCAATAGAAAAGAGCTCATTTTGGAGCAAGCAATATCTGAATCATCTGTCTGACAATCTACCACCTCACATGAGCTACTTGCAAATTAATTTGATCCCGAAATTCCGTAATTTAAGGACGTTGGGCTCAGCTCAGATGACGTTCTTACGACATTTTTTCGTTCTAATCCCGTCGGACTCTCTCTGAGAGACTGGGTACGGGTTGGGGGTGTAAGCGTCACCACGAACTGCCCAGGCAAGGAAAACCGTTGTCTCCTCTCGCAGCCGTTCTTTGTCTCGGGATCCTTGTGTCTCCCTCCCCACAAACGGCTGCTCGTGTTGACCAAACATTCCATTCCCTTTGTTTCCTTCCACCAATGAGCGTCGCGTCGAACAGTTGTTCGAGACCCGCCAATCAGGAAGCGAAAAATTGCACGCGGGTTTACCGGGGAATATCTCTCAAAACTTCGCCAAATTTCACGTCCGTGTAGCAAAATATGTCATTATTTTTCAATTTTTACGGGTGATACCCCGAAGAAAGTAACTTGCAGTAAATTATCTGGATGTTTCCTGTGTACCTCAACAGTTTCGACTAAAGAAAGAGTTAGAATCTTCGGAAGATCGGCTGAAGTAACGAGCGTCATAAGGTTAGCACTGGGTATAAACTTGGAAGCTTTTTACATTTATTTGAATTCTAGTTTACATATATGTCTCAAATGCAASAGAAAATTTGCCAAGATTAAGAAATTAGAAAACGATGTCCAAGAGCTGAAAAATGAACTGAAAGCTGGCTATGATTCCATTCAAGATCACCGGGTTAGAAGACTTCAACCATCACTTGACAACAACTCGAACGCAAAGCGACCTTTTGCAGCGAAAGCTCTCGATTTCACCGGCCCTAGCACATGTACTTCTTTGCCTCCAAGTCCTACATTTGAGCCGCCAGTATCTCTGCCTTGTACGCCTCAATCCTCTAATGCATCAGCTATACTACTACCTACTCTACCCGTCAGTCCAATAATCGCAGAGAAATCGCCCCATGTTCACACGACAAAGCTCGCAGCTCAAGTATCGTCTACTCCAAAGCCAAGGCCGACCGAACCTAAAGTCAGCTTGTGCATTGAATACCCAAGCAAAACTAACAATAAGAAACTTGGTCCAGACGTGGAAGCTATTGCCAAGGCTTTGGCTCAAGGTCCACCTTCAAGATTTGCTAATGCAGCTTTAAAGTCAAAGTCAATGAGCAAACATCATGATTATCGAAAGGGTCTTACGTATTGTCTCTGGAGAAATAACTGGGCTTTGCTCATTAAAAAAAAACCACCATTGCTCCAAAGGAGAACCTCAAAGGAAGATTTTGAAAATTTCGATCTAAAGAGAATTTGTGACGAATGGAGGGAGAGAGTACCAGTATTCTACTCGTTCCTGTTGACAAGTTGCACAACAAACAAAGACGCAACTTGGTTCCCGAGCATCGGTTTGGCAGGATCGATCTTGTTGAAGCAGAGAAAGAAGCACATGAATACTACTGCTGCTATTATCGGAATACTCATCAAAACACGATCAATAGAGGTAAATTATGCTTAAATGTTATGCTATAATGTTATTCCAGTACTATACACCTTTCACTACCTTTCACACTTCTTTGCTCATTTCTTAAAGTCCCATTCATTTTTATTTATGTTTACTGGCTTTTTATTGATTTGTTTCACCTAAATATTAGGATGTTCACTGGTTCAAATCCTATTTTTTTGTGGGGAGGAAGACACAGGGATCCCGAGACAAAGAACGGCTGCGAGAGGAGACTAGAAAAACCGCAAATTTTAACCCGTTTTGATCTTAATAATTCGTTTTTCGATGGGTAGTCCCTTTCTATGGGGTTTTTCTCAAGGCTAAAGCAAATATTATGAGCCTTCTTCCCACAATGAAAAGCAAAGGTCATCGACAGCATCGAGGATAATGCGTTAAAACAATCCAAAAATAAAAATAAACAGGAAACAGAATTCGATACTTTCGGGACTTTCGATGGTCAAACAGCTTATTCCAGTATGGAATCGGTAAGAACTGGGGATGGTCCCACAGAATCGAGGTCAAGAGGGCCAAAACTGAAATGTTTTACAGTTTCTCCTGAGACGTTTCGAACAAAAGTATCAACCTCTGACCATAAGGAAGAGAAAATATGGTAAATCCCTTGTACCTTCCCCATTTATTAACCCGGCAAAGGAGATATTATGGGAAGTTCTCTTACCAGCGTAATATCCCAGTGTAATATGCCATAAAATGACAGTTTTTATACCGATTTAAGGAGGAAGATTTCTTCACCAAGTCATTGTACCTTATCAGGGTTATGGGCTCGAGCTCCTGACCTTATCATCAAATTGACAAGTTGTTGTTTCACTTTATTCAGTTCAGTTCTCCTTTTGTTCCTAAAGCTTGTTTTTCAGCTCATCATTTTTCCTTTTCAGTTCAAACTTTCTACTTGGGTTTTTCTATCCTTTTTGATTCACTTCCTCAATTTTCCCTTTCAATATTGTACAGACGAACTTTCTTGTTGTGGCCGAGTGCTTTATACTTTTGAAAATAGCCATCGACCTAAAGAACCGTTCGAACGCCTTGTCATCATTTAAGCTACTCTTCTTTGGAAACTCGAGACACCGCTCTAGAGACTACATATCGGGGTTTTGGTGGCTTTCGCTTCTGGACGAAGTGTTCTTCTGCCAACGAGGATCTTCTGGAAATCCGATTCCTTTGAGTGTCTCGAGCAAACCCGCTGTGCCAAGTGCTCGTGAAGTGGCGACCAACATCTCTTCTAATAACTTGAATCTATGCGTATAAGTGATTATTTTGGAAATATGTGGAAATATATCTTTAAATCTTCCTTCCGATCAATCTCTTTTGTGTACTTCGATACACAGCAGTTGTACTGCATTTTGTTTACAAGACGAAATCGTATTTGGTTCTCATGAAGCGTTTCCGTCCAAGTCGCCCCAGTCAGTTACCGGCCGCGGATGGCGGCTATTTCGGAATAAGGTGCGAATGAGACCTTCCGAAAATGCTTCCGTTTTGAGAGGGTTTTCAATATTGGGCGAAGACTATGCAGAGAGAAAGAAAATTTGAATAGTAATTAATTGGAAACTTACACCACAAAATTTTTTACCCTAAAAATGTGAATATGTTAATGGTGAGACATGGTTTGATGCCACCTGGTTGAAAAATTTAATGAATGGAACATAAATTACAATTCATTAACCCAACGTCTCGACACTCCTGTCTAGTGCCTTCATCAAGGGTGATCTCATGATCGTTGCAACAAGAGGCGCTTCTATATACTCACTAATTAGTTGCCGTATTTTTCTGTTAACGATGACTTTAGAACCACTACCGTTAAAGCAGAAGTTACTTTGAAGATAATGTTGATTTACTAAATTAAAATTGACCGCAC